AAGAGAGATTAAACGTACAGCGACTGAACTGATGCAGGTTCATCAGAAAGAAGGGGAATCTCTGAGGGACTACATGCAACGATTCAACAAGGCCATTTTAGACATTAATAATGTCCTTGATACTATTTGCTTGTCTGCCTTATTACATGGTTTGAAGCGTGGTCGACTCCTAGACGACCTGCTAGAAAACCCACCAAAGACATGGAACGAAGTAAATGACAGGTTGGCTAGCTTCATACTGTCAGAAGACTTCTAGTCGTTCAAACGACGAGCTGATGATAGGCAAAGCAAAGGCCATGAACAACCACAAAGGAGAAAGGAAAAGAAAAAGCAGAAAGTTAACGAGCAATGGGGAAAGCCATCTGACTTCCCAAAGTGTGTCAACTACATTCCTTTAACCTCGTCAAGGTCTCAAATCCTGGCACAAATCCAGCACTGGATCAGAAGACCATCCCTCCCACTGCATGATTCCCCAAGAGCAGATAAGAGCAAGCACTGTGACTACCATTGTGCCTACGACCACAATATAGAAGACTGCCAACATTTAAAGGACGAGCTGGAATTGTTAGCTCACAATGGGAAGTTAGAAGGATATGTTTAGAACCCTTATGCCTAGCAACCAACTCAAATTCACTTTGTGTAGGGGTATGACAAACCTTCGGGGCAAAGGTATCAGCTCGGCAGTGCACCGGACGCACATCAGGATAGCCAATATCCTTCTAACCAGGGTAGAACGTACAGGGGCCATCAATTTAATAGGCGAGGCTAGGGATAGAGAACTACCACCCAGAACCAAAAAGATAGGAAAGGGGTAGGCTATGTTGGGATACCTCCGCCCTCTGGCACAATAAACATGATCTCGGGTGGTATCTACTCAAGAGGCCAAAGTGCTCGAGGTCGCAAGGCATATGCCCGTCAGGTGATGACTGTTAATAAGAATAGACCCATGAAGCGGCCATTCGAGGAGGCAGAATGGGAGAATGCGCCCATTACATTCAGTGCGGCGGATTATAAGCGAGCAGATGGAGAGCCCGATGTTATGATGCCTCATGCAGATCCTTTTGTGGCAACGGTTCATATAGGCAATCATAACGTCAACAAGGTCTTTATCGATACTGGTAGCTCACCAGATATCTTATATTGGAGCTGCTTTCAAAAGATGCAACTGAATCTGAGCTCGTTGCAGAAGTATGAAGAGCCCATATATGGGTTCGATAATCAACCCATCCCAGTTGAAGGAGTCATCACTCTTCCCATCTATGTGGGCTCGGAACCACGCTTCAAGATGGCTTCTGTTAACTTTCTGGTCGTCAAGATGGAATTAGCTTTCAATGCTATACTAGGGAAAGCCACCCTTTGCGAGCTGAAGGCTGTCATCTCATAACCTCATCTCTGTATGAAATTCCCAACTCCCCAGGGGGTAGGAGTGCTTAAGGGAACCAGAAGATGGCCAGAGCCTGCTATCAAGATACTTTCAAGAAGGTTGAGCTCGTTGTAGCCCCGGCAGGTTCTTCTAAAATTCACAGGCTAACCTAGCTCGGCCAACAGACAATGAGCATATCAGATATCAAGCACCGACCTAAGGGTGTCGAGCAGAAGGCTGAGCCAGTGGAGCCAGTGGAAATGGTCCCTTTGAACCCTAACGTTCCAAAAAGAACAGTTAAGGTTGGCACCAAGCTCACAGTAGAAGAAGGAACGGAGCTTCTAAAGTTTCTGAGGGTTAATCAAGATGTGTTTGCATGGACAATGGATGAAATGCCTGGCATCCCA